AAACATCGATTTTTATTCAGAATCTCTTCATCTTTCAATTCCTAAACCTCTTGGAATCATCAAACTAGTGCAAAAATCATCACATTCTCACAAAATCTGAAAATCTTCAAGGTATTTTTCTAAAACTTCTATTTTGTCAATTTTTGAACATAGGACTAGATTTACTTAGTTCTAGATTGAAATAATGATTGGGCATTGATTGTTTAGTGTTTAGAAACTATATTTTACAACCAATTTCATCAAAATCTCACAACTTTTAAAATAATTTTTAAAATTTTAAAATATTTAAAAAAAATTGTGTTTTGATTTAATTGTGTTATTTACATGTTAACTATACATACTATAGTTTTTCAAACATTATTTTCAATATTTTTCAAAACTTTGCCCATTAGATTTGTTTTAGAGAACCTTGAAATATTGAGGACTCAATTGAGTTTTGGGATTGATTGAATTGCATACATGTGTTTTTCTAAATTGCAGGTTATCTATTCTATTCTGATTTCTTAAACCATGTCAAAACGAGTTAGGTCTAGTCGTTCAAACCGTCAATCAAACCCTCCTCCAAATCCTCCTCCTATCCTACCAAATCCTATTCCTAATCCCATTGATCCTAATTTAACTATCCAAAACTCGTGCTTCAATCAACCTGGTCCTAGAAATCATCGTTTTTGGTATTATCAGTATTTTGACTAGTACAAAATTAGAGAAGAACATATCACATCTCTTCAAGCTATGATTGATATCAATTTTAAATATCTCTCTATCTTACGAGAATGGAAATTTGATAAACTCTGTGATCTTGAACCTAAGGTTTACCATCAGCTTGTTCGTATCTTTTATTCTAATGTCGTTTGTATTAAAAACTGAAATCAATACGAAACCATAGGAGTTCGTTCATGCCTTCTAGGACAATACTTCTATCTTGACCCGACTTACATAGCCAATGCATTAGGATTAGATAATGATGGTTTATCTAATGAAAAACAGTTATTAGGTTCTCGATATAAAAGAAGGGATAGTGCAAGTGTCTTAGATCTTCATGAGCGTTTTCTTCATCTAATGATCACTTGGTGGTTTCGACCATCCAAAGGTCGTTACTTTACTCTTAGAGCTTTGGATCTTTGGTGATTACATTGTTTTGAAAACAATATTAAAATAAATCTTCCTGAGATTATTTTTGCTGAAATTATTGAAACCGTAAACTTAGTTCCAAATAAGAAACTTTGTTCTTCTCTAGTTTATGGTTGCATTCTGAGTAATCTTTTTTCTAAAGCTGAGCTTAGAGTTGGTCTAGATGCCTTCTTTCCTCTTAAAAAACAAATCAATCTTCTTTCCTTAACGAGACCGGGATGGGTCAAGGATAAAGAAACCGGTGTATAGGTTCGATCTGCTGAATTTACTCCGGGATCTAGTTCTTCACAAGCACCACCAGCAGTTGATGACGATTCTGACGATGAAGATGAACCAGATCAGCACGCGGAGCAAGCACAACAAGTGGATCAAATGCCTCCATATTTTTAATCTTTTATGGAGACATTTAACTTACATTCTGCATCCATGGAATCACGCTTTTCTTTCATTGAGTCCCAGCTCACTTCCTTGGGGGCTCAATAACGGGAGATGAACGATCGTTTGGATGGACTCTCTCTTGAGATGAGAGCTCGATATCCTCCTCCTCCTCCCGATCCTTCTATGGATGAATATATCTTGCTTTGTTTTAGTTGTGTTTGGTTTGAATTTAGAACTTAAAATTGTTAAAACATTTTGAATGCTTTTGGATTGTTTATTTTTGGTTGTTCAAACTTATGTTTAATACATTTGATTTGGATTTCGTGTTTATTTTGCATCTTTAGACATATATGACCAATTATCCATTACATGTTTATGAATATTGATTATGAAACTAATAGCTAACGTTTCTCTTGATTGTGATCTTAGCAGATTAAGCTATTTATCTATATATAATCAGTTGGCTGAATGATTTCAAAACCTTGTTTAAAATATTTTAAAAGTCTTTTTGATTTAACAAAAAGGGGGAGAAATGTTAAAAGTGTTTTAAAGGGGAGAAGTGTTAGAGTAAGGGGGAGTAATTTCAAACTTGATTTCAAAATAAAATCATAAAATTAAGTTAAATTAATTTTAAGATTTTCCAAAGAGATTTTCTAAGTATATTCGATATAATTATTCGAATATCAAAATATTACTCCAAATCTTTCAAATGTCATTTTTAATCCTTACTCAAGTGTAAAATTAAGTTTTAATCTTAAAATAATTTCAAAACAATTTTACAAAATATTTTGAACTATTTCAAAGCCAAAAATTCCAGATTGCTCAGAGGGAACCGATTCCCCTGAATGGTTTGGCTCCGAGAAAAACAGAATGCTCGGAGGGAACCGATTCCCCCCAAGGGGGTACCGATTCCCCTGTTTAACGGTCAAAATATTTGAATTTTACACTTAGGGAACCGATTCCCTATGAGGGGTACAGATTCCCCCACGCTCCAAGCAGAAATATTAATTGTTTTCACACTTAAACGACTCTATTGACTCCACTAATCATCCCCAACGTTTAGAATCATTTGAAGGTGTATTTAAACAAGCTTAGAAACCATTGATCAAAAACAAGAAACAACAAGCAACTAGAATCAAGAGAGAATCAAAGAGAAAGCATTAAACCTCAAGTTTGAGCATTTCAAGCTTATTTTTTTTCATTCAATATTCATTTTGCTTTCAAGAACACTACTTGTACTCAATTGTATTCCTTCTTGAGTGTTCTTTTCTTTGTTCTAGAATTGTGCAAACAATCTACCTTGTGAGGATTTCCTTGTAAGTTTGCAAATTTGTATTGTTCTCTTTGGGAGAGAGTGTTCTCAAGAATTTGGGGTATAATTCTTGAGGGTTTGTAAGGTTACTCTTTGTCCTCAAAAGAAAGACAAATTATTGAATTTGTGGAAAATCTTTAGTGTGGATAGCTAAGGTAGTGGACGTAGACTTTGGTTGAGAAAGTCGAACCACTCTAAATTGTTGTGCAATTACTTTCAATTTTCTGCAAAAGCTTCCACCAAATTTTAATTACCAATTCACCCCCCTCTTGCCCGATTCCGTCAATCGATTAACTCAACAGAAACTAACAGAACCATTAGTCAATGACAAAATATGTTAATCAAAGAGTTACGTTGAATTTTTTTTCTTAGAGTATCACTCTAATCTAAAAAATAAAATGACAGTTACATTAGTTTTTTTTTTAAAGTTCAGAGATCTACCGTCCATGTGTCTGATTGCCAAAAATAAAGAGTACAAATAAAAGGAAAAGCAATAAAGGGTGGGATTCAGATTTGTACCACCATAAAAATGGTTGTCCTTAGGGCACAAGTAATGGAAAGCTTATCCGTACTTCCTCATAACATTGTACACATCAGCCGTCCTACAATTAGGGTGCGTTTGGTTCACGGAATGTAAGATTACCAGTGGGAATAAAAGATTACCAGGGAATAGGATTACTGGGAATGTTGTATTTTATGTTTGGTTGGTTTAGCAGGAATGTAAGATTACCGTGTTTGGTTAAAGGAATAAAGAGATTGGAATGTATTTTGACCAAATTGTCCTTATATATATTTGTAATATTACAATTGTAAAATTTATATATTTTCTTTAAAAAAATAAATTCATAATATTTATATAATTTTTTTACAAAATTAAAAATATAAAAAAAGTTTAATGAAAGGGTAAATTTTTTTTAATCTCTGAACTTCATATAAAATTTTAATTATAGAATTATTTTTGTAAATCTAAAATAATTTAAGGATAAATTTTTAATTTAACCTTCGTAGAATTTTTATTATTCAATGATAGAAGAATGATATTTTTGAAAAAAAAAATAAAAATTTAAGGACATTTTAGTCCAAAACGCCGGTAATGTTACAATACCTAAGGGAAGGGAGGTAATGACATTCCCGGTAATATACCCCAAAAAATCTACTATTGGTAATAAAACATTACCGGGAATGAGATTCCCGGCCAACCAAACATGGGAATGTGGGATTCCCATCCCATGGGAATCCCACAATCCTTGAACCAAACACCCCATTAGGGTTATAAAAAATTGACTCGACCTGTAAAATTAATTAAAATTAATTTGAGTTAAAATTATTTTTAATCTCGCTGTAGTGATTTAAAACCGACTCTTTTGAGTTGGACTTGGAAATTGTGGATCCGAACCCGACCTACACCCGACCTGACCCGAATTGAACCAAAAAAATGATACCTGAAACCGACCTGCATCCGACTGATATGAACCCGAACCCGAGATTGACCTGGTAAATAATTAGTATTATCTGACCTGTTTTTAACATGACTTGCTGATCTGATATTTATCTGACTTAACCATGGACGAAATTATAAGATTTTAATAAAATTATGAGTTTTTTAGTTTATGATGTAATTAAAAAATTAATACGATTAATTTTTAAATGTTATAATAAAATATTTATTATGATAATTAAATTAATAAATAGACATATTATATAAAATTATTTAATAAAATTAATAAAATTATTTAAATGTAAATTATATAAAACATGATTAATAATGTAAAGAAAAAATAATATAGTTTAATTTATATAATTTAATTTATGTAAAGAAAAAATAATATTAATAATGAAAGTATTTATTATGTAATTATGTCAGATGTTAACTGTTAGTGTCTTGATTGACTACAATTAAATAATTGTTTGATTTGATTGATAAAATTAAAAGATCGATGGTAAAAATAAAATGATAAATAATTAGGTGATCAATATATAATTTACCCAATATTTTATGTATCACGTTTATTTTTTTTTTCTTATTGAAAATGTATCACGTCCATTTATTTTGTCATTGATTGAACAATTTCAGACTTGGTGGGCCTCGATTGGTCCTTTTCTTTTTTTGTTTCTTGTGTCTGCCTTTGAGTCCCACTTATAAGAAACTATTTCAGACTTTCTATATACCACTCAATTCCCAATTATGAGAAAACTAAAATTTAAAACCAATACCACAGAACCAATATCTCTTTTGGTTTCTCTTTCCCAGTATCCAAACTAACCCGCCATGGCGACCATGATGATGAGCAGAATGATGAACATAACCCCATCATCATCATCACCACCATCGTTGGCAACTGACTCTCTATCAGCACCACTACCATTATCATCATCAAAGCTCCCACGCCGTACAATCCCAGGATCACACGGCTGGCCTTTGATAGGACAACTATCCGACCGTCTAGACTACTTCTGGTTCCAAGGACCAGACGCGTTCTTCAGGTCGAGAATGGAGAAGCACAATTGCACCGTTTTCCGTACCAACGTTCCACCGAGTTTCCCTTTCTTTTCGAGATCGGTGAACCCCAACGTCATCGCCATCGTCGACTGCAAATCTTTCTCCCATCTTTTCGACATGGAAATTGTCGAGAAAAAAGATGTTTTAGTCGGCGACTTCATGCCTAGCACCGAGTTCACTGGTGGCTCCAGGGTTTGCGCTTATATTGATACCTCTGAACCCAAACACGCCCAGGTATTTCTTCATTTTCTTTTTTCTCTTTAATTAACTTCAGATCTTGGATGCTTCTTCAAGAATTTGAATTTAAAGAAAAAACAGTAAGTAAAACTTATTCGCAGCAGCGTAACTTGTTGAGTTTGAGGTCAACATAAACTTTAAAAATTTTAAAAGTTTAAATTAAAATTTTTCAAAACATTTGGAGGTTTAGTTTACATTTTTTTCAAAAAAAAAAATAACTATTTTTCAAATTTTTTTTAGAAATTTAATAAGATTTTTTTAATTATGGGAGAAGATTTAATTAATAACATTAAAAAAATGAAAATTTTATATGAATTTTTTAAAATTTTAGAGATCAAATTAAATTGTTTTAAAATTAAATGATATAAATTATAATTTTTAAAATTTTGGGTCATGTCCCTCACTAGCCATTCTTCTTTTGTTCCGTCACTTCTTATGCGGTTCACTCACATATACCGAAATAATATCTCTGGTAGTTTTGAGTATAATAAAATGTTTTAATATAAAAATAAGTGTTAAAATTATACTTTTTTTCTCATTTAAATATCTAAATTATTTTTTAATTAATCTAGATTCTTAATGTTTTCAATGTTATAATTTTAGGTGACTGGACAATTATTACCGTTAAATTCTGCTGTTAAATAACATTTGTTGCTTATATTAAATTAAAAAAAATTGTATTTTTAAAAAATAAATTTTTAAAATTATATAAGTTTGACACATGCTACTTAACAGTGTGATTTAACGTCCATTATAACTGAGGCACCTAAAAGTATAACGTTGAAAATATTAAATACTTGATTGACCGACTTAAAAATTTAGACATTTAAATGAGAAAAACATATAGTTTGAGCACTTATTTTTATATTAAGCATAATAAAATAAAAAACATAATTAATTGCATCATATGTTCCTAAACTATGACATTCATTTTAAATTGGCCACTAAACTTTAAATATTTTAATTTCATCCCCAAATTATGAATCTCATTATAAATTAGTCCTTCAACTATTGAAAATTTTAATTTTATTCCTAAACTATGTCCATCTTTCTAAATTGATCCCAAACTTTTAAATATTCTAATTTTATCCCCAAATTCATCCAAATATGAAACTAATTTCAACCATAATTTAACCTAAATTTTGTTTTTTTTTTCAAAAATTTAATAATATAACTTGACCTAATAATTTTATTAACAATGAATGTGATTAATATATACGTATAGTTTAGGACAACATTGAAATGTTCAAAAAATTTAGGGACTAATTTAGAATTAATGTCATAATTTGGGGATGAAATTGAAATGTTTAAAATTTTAAGGACTAATTTAAAATTGTAATCATAGTTTAAGGATGGAACTGAAATATTTTAAAGTTTGGGGACTAATTTAAAATGAGGGTCATACTTTGAGTAAATGTGGTACAATTAACTCTAAAAAACATGAGACGAATATCATATTTTTAATGAATATGTTATAGTTATTAAAATTACTTAAATTATATTCATATTAATAAATGTTCATAAATCATATTGATTAAGACGGATAAATCTGTTAACCATAGGTGTGAATGTGAAGGGACCACGTCAGTTTATATAGGCGATCCCTTATTTCTTTTGTTATGGAACATTAGAAGTAAAAAGATTTTAAATTACCAATGTATAGGTGGTAAAAAGAAATATTGTATTTTTAAAAAAAGTTTTGAATTTGAATAATTGTGTTTATAGTCTATGGTATACATGTGTTTATCGATTGATTGAGAAAAATACGAATATATATTACTTTACAATATTAAAAAAATATTAAATTATACTGTTAAAATTTAAAAAAAAAATTATATACTTTTTATATGGATAAGAATAAGTTACTAGTGTTAATATATTTTATTATTTTTGGCTTTTTAAAATAAATTTTATAAGAAAATAAAATTTCTTTTTTGAGGTGTAGACTGATACCCTTTCATAAAGGTAACTCTGTCATTGCCAAATACCCTGCTTGGATCTTAGGAAAGGCCAATGGGAAAAATAAATAGAAAAAGGATGGAGAAAATGGAGTAGTTATTGCATATATTATTTGCAAATATCTTATTAAAATAATTTTTAATGTTTTTTATATGAATTGCCCGTCCAACTAAATTGATAGAGCGCAATACTCTTAATCTTATGGTCGTGAGATTGAGTCACACGGTGAACAATTTATAATTGCTAGAGATCTTTTACGGAAATTGCTCTCAACCTAACGTTGAGACCAGCCTATTACCCTAGCTCCCCTTTATTCCATTACATATGGGAATAGGGTTAGCTAATTTTTTTAATGTTTTTTTATATATTTTTCATTATCATTATATATATATATATAACCAAGTAATTAAAGCAATGGATGAACGATGAACAACTGAAGTAAACACATGAAGCTTTTTCATTATCCGGCCAAAGACATGCAAAATGTTTAGTTTGAAAAGGAGTTGTTTGTTTGAAAGTGAAATTTGATCACGTGGGTCCAACCAGACCACGTGCCGTGCTTTCTAATTGAGATGCTGATTGATTTCCCACTATCACCTCGTCTTTTATAATTAAGAGATTTTGATACTGAATGAAATTATTTGAAATAGAATTAATTATAGTTTCATCCTCAATTATGTAACTTAATAGAATTTCCACTAATTTCTATCATTATTATTATTTTTTTTTTTATTTCATGGCCATTTGATAAACAACACAGATCAAGAACTTTGCCATAGACATACTGAAGCGGGGTTCCAATGTGTGGGTGAATGAGCTCCATGACAACCTCCACAAATTCTTGGACGCCATCGAATCCGACATTGCCAAAGGAGGCAGCGCATCCTATTCCCCACATCTCCAGGATTTCATCTTCAATTTCCTCACCAAGTCCCTCGTCGGCGCCGACCCCGCCATCGACCCCGAACTCGCCAAGTCCGCTCCCTCCACCCTCAACACCTGGATCGCTTTCCAAGTCCTCCCCGTCATGCCCCTCCGCGTCTTTCAGCCCCTCGAAGAGATATTCCTCCACTCTTACACTTACCCTTTCGCCTTCATAAGAAGAGACTACCAAAAACTCTACAACTTCATCGAAGAGCACGGCGGAGAAGTTGTGCGGCGCGGCGCCGAAGAGTTCGGCCTTCCTCTGTCTGAAGCAATCCATAACTTGATCTTCGTTCTTGGTTCAATGCCTTTGGTGGTTTCTCTGTTTCTTACCGTCATTGCTTAACACTGTAGCTAGTGATAAAACCGGGTTACAAGCCAGGCTAAGAGAAGAAGTTAGAAAACTATCCGACCCATCAACGAGCTTGAGTTTTGACTCGGTGAAAGATATGGAGCTGGTGAACTCAGTTGTTTACGAGACGTTGCGGTTCAACCCGCCTGTCACGCTTCAATATGCACGAGCGAGGAAGGATTTCGAACTCACTTCTCATGACTCGGTTTTCGACATCAAAAAGGGTGAGTTGTTGTGTGGGTATCAGCCTTTGGCTATGAGAGACGGTAAAGTCTTCGATGAGCCGGAGAGTTTCAAGCCGGACCGGTTCGTTGGGAAAGGGAAGGAATTGCTGAATTACTTATTCTGGTCGAACGGGCCTCAGACCGGATCCCCTAGTGAATCAAATAAGCAATGTGCAGGAAAGGATTACGTGACACAGTCGGCTTCGTTAATTCTAGCCAACGTCTTTGAAAGGTATGATTCAATCAGTGGAGGAGCTGGTAAAATCACAGCCGTTGAAAAGGCTAAGTAATTGGCACTTCAAACCCTTATGTGTCAAATTCATAAACATTAAACAATTAAATTTGTAAAATCAATGTCTAATCAAACTGTGAAATAAGTTATGTTTTTAGTCTACATTCTAAAAAAGTAAGTTTATGTATGGGATATAGATGCTGTGTACTGTGCATTCCAAGTGACAGCCTCGACCAGCCTGAATAAGGTAAATTGCACTCCATCATCGAATGAACGACCCTGGAAACTCGCCGGTAGATCGAGTGGTGGTGCTCTGGCTAATTTTTATATTGCAGATCAATTGTGTAGGTTACCAAGGGATTCTGGATCACCCTGGAAAGGAAAATAGCACGAGGAATTGTTCAAAAGGCAAAAGAACCGGATGAAGTTTCTGAAGCTTATTTGAAGGGTATTGACATATTTGGAATCCATCAGCTTCCGAGGAATGTAGCTTGACAATTGTGGTCGTGTCCTACTTGTAGAAATAACAGGTTTCAAAATTCAAGCATTAAAGAATAAACTGGTACATATGATATATACACATATGTAATGTACAGAGAGAACATGTATTTTTGGCTAACCTCTGGTTTTCCGAGAGCCTGAGATAGCAACCGATGATGTTTCTCAGCAGGCGCGGCAGATTTTCTTCATCTTCTTCATCAAGTCTCTCCCCTAATTTTGCCAAACATTGGCTTACCGAAAGATACCGCTCCGCAAGAGTGAAACAATACTTGAGGCCTTCCTCAGTCGGTAAGATTCTGTAAATTATAAAGGTGGCAACCTGTAGCGTCCATTATATTAGCAGCTGATAATGTTAGCTTCAAGAATATAGCTAAGCATGTTAATAAGAACTCTTCTTTTCCTAAAGTACCCATAATTTATCAAGCCTGAAAATTTTATAAGCCGACAGGAATTGTTGGTTTTGATTCATGTCTAGTGTTGTTAACTTTTTTATGATATGGACACGCAAAAAGAGAGAAAAAGAGGGTGAAACAACTGATGCAACATTTATAGATTTCTATGTTTGAAGAAAGTGCAGTCACTCACTGTTTTTGTCTACGTTCTGCCGAACTCCATGCAGCGTAGGCAACTAGGAAATATTTGGGTAGAAAGAAGGTATTCAACCACTTCTGGATCATCAACCTGCATAAATCGAAAACTCGAAAAACACGAATCGAAAGAAAGTAAAATATATTAACTGAAAAACCATTCAATAAAATTCCATGAGTTCTAATGGTGTATGTATTCTGCTAGTGATTGAGACGAAAACAGAAGAGCAGATGTGAGGGAAGGGTACCTTTTCTAGCGAGCAAATGACACCTAAGCTGGTGAGCCTTAGATATTCATAGTTCCTTTCACTGCTCATAGTGTTCAAGAAGGGATAAAGATACACTGGCATAGTAGCTACAAAGAAATATTTGAATTAGAACAATTCTTATGATGCAACCAACAAATATTTTTATAAAAGGTACACTAATACACAAAGCCTCACGTGCTTGGAGGACTAAAAGTGGAATTACCTCTAATGAATGGCATCTTTGTTTCAGGGTGAGAAGCCACAAACTGTGAAGTTACAAGCAATGGATGTAATTTAGTTTTTCAAAGAAATAAAATAGCATAATGTAAAAATACAGAAAAGAATCATCTTTGAAATTCTTAGCTCCAAGCTTAAGATATTAAAGTAGGCTACAATAACAAGAATTCATTGTACGCAACACCATTATACATGTTTGGACCAGTATCCATTGATAGAATCATTAATGAATAATATATGAAACTGAAAAATACGTCTCCATGAAAGTTATTCCAAGATAGAAGATGAAAAATCAACCAATAAGTCAAGGATGGACCTAGACGGGCTGGTGGGGTGTTCGTCCTAAAAATTTTAAATTTTTATATGTTTTAGATATTTTCTTTGTATTTTATATTGAAAATATGTTTCGCTCATTAAAATTTTATAAGATCCATAACATAAAATTATGCGTCTGGTCCTTCCACGATTAAAGACTAAAACTTGGCCTTGTTCATCCACAAAAGTGAATAGAAGAATGGACCTGGAGAAGCGCTATGGCATTGCAAACTTGTGTGACCGCTCGTTCTTTAAGGCTATCGGATAATAATGGACAGTAGTTATTACCTGAATATTGACAAGGTAAACAATCATTTAGTATTGAATTCGTGTGGGCATTGTATGTATCAATAAAGCTTGCAAATCTATGATTTTCTTGGAGAATAACATTGGTATGATAGACAAATAGTACTATTCTAGAGATGCATGGGAATTGATTATCGCATGAGAATAGATACATAAAACATGCTCACTAATATTTAAAAAAAATGAAAAATCCGACGCCAAAACTAATGCTTAAAATTAATAAAAATAAAAAATCAAAATAACATAGAATGAAATAGCAAAACCTACCACTAAAAGGACATTAATAGTACCAAAAGAATTCCATAATAAAATTGCCAACTTGTCACAAGTTTGTCTATTCTGGGGAGATAAGAAAAGATTACAAATGAATCAAAATATCATATGAAATTATTACTAGAAAGCTATGTATCTATCTAATAATCAAAGCCCTAATTTTGGCGAAATAAGATCTCAAAAAAGAAAATTCTTAAAAAAAAGGGAAAGTAGCAATCATGAGAAAAGAGGAGCAAATCTTTTTAAAATATTAAAAATGGTTCTACCATTTCCTGAGTTAAAAATATTAAAAATGGACCTTCAATGAGTAATAGGCATTCTGATGCTAATCAAGAAGATATCTTTTCCATCCATCATGAAGCTTTGTTGCATTTGCATTATTTTGTTTGAATTTGTTATTGTTATTTCTCTATTTTTTACTTAAATATTTTGTAAAAATGTTTGGTGATTGAACTTATACCTTCTTCTAAAGTTATAAACAATGAAATAAGTTTTAATCTTGAAGTTCTTTAAATATTGATGAATTAAAGATACTTTTAATTTTTTTTCAATAATTATAGATCTTTGGCAAGTGGCAAGATTAGACCTTTCATATCCTGTCCAAAGCCAAAAGTACAAACATTTGATTCTTTACCTTGACATTACCTCTATTTGAGACTCTAAAGTCATGCTCTTACCTTTTTCGAGACACAAAATTCATACTTTTACCTTCTCGGGTAGAGCCGATCTTTTTATATCAATACCTTTCTCCATATATACGACTTCAAAGTCACACCCTTGTTTTTTTAGAAACAAAATTATCTTTTTTACGCCAATAAAACCTGAAGGCCTTAAGTGCAAAACTTTCATTTGTCCGTGAATCTTCCTGGAAGAAGAGACGATATGGGGTATCCTAGATCGAGTTTTTGAAGATAAGCTCGAATAATTGGTGTATACCATAGCAAGAAGAAGAGGAGGAAATAAAGGGAATGATTGAAATAAAATGATTGAAATAAAATGATTGAAATAATTATATCATGTATTAATTACATTGTTTTCATATGAATAAAAGTTAATCTTGAATATTCATCCCCTTGAGGATACCTTTTTTTTGTAAGGACTTATGTGTATGAAATGATGAACGGCCTTCTTTCATTTATCCCTTTACAAAAAGAAAAAGATATATCCCTTGTTGTCCCCATTTAAGTCTGGATTATTTTTCTTCTGATTCAACCATAATCAAGAATCACCCCACACTGGGGGGAAAGGTGAAGGAAATCTAATCGCAGGAGTGAAGACCATCAATTCATGTCGTTGTGAAATAAAGTGCGAAATAATAAGATACCTTGAGGTGGATCAAATACAATGCGTTCGAAGACCAAATCCAATCGAGAACAACAAAAGAAGCTCTAAATGCAAGGAATGAATAGAACAAGAAGGTGATCGAAGACCAAATCAATTCGACAATAAAGAGAGAGAAAAAAGAAAAAAAGTAATAAAAAAGAAGCAAAAAATGTGAAGCAAAAAATGAGAGGAAAAAAGTAAAAAAGAAAAAGAAGAAAGAAAACAGATTAAATTTTTCAAGATGATCGATTCATTGAGCCTCAAGCCACAAGGTTGATCAAGTACAATCGTTTCAAAAATCCAAATCACAAGAAGATTATGTAACACCAAAGGAAAGCAAAAGAAAATAAAAGACATATCACAAGCAAATTCAAATTGAGCAACGCAAGATTTACTATATCAGAATGAATTGATCCTTGGTTTAATCACCCTTAAACACTTGTTTGGGCATGTTTATCCATTTCTTTCATAACCGTGAATCATGACCTATATTATGTGCCTAAAAGGTCCTTCTAATCATACATGGAGTTTTAGCAGAAAAGACCATTTTCAGAGTTCATTTCGCCTCTCAGGATTAATTTTTTATTTGCAAAAGGTTTTCTAAAATCTTTAATGCATGATAGGAAAATGACAAAATGGGGGTTCAAGACGTAAAATTTTGAAAGACGTCTTGAAGCCAAAGGAGGATTTGAGTTGAAAGCCTGAAGGGGCGACTCGAATATTAAATTGCACAACTATGCCATAAGAGGCGGTCCTACAAATCTCTTGATGAAGCACCACACATCCCAAATGCGCTCCTGAGAGTGGGAACCGATGAGTATCTCTAGAAGATGAACATAACAACCACTTCCTCCCAGATATGTTATAATGAAAAAGGCCAACTTGAGAGACCTTACCTTTCCAGAATTAACATATACCTCAATTTTGTCATTAATCTTGACACTTGTCATGGGGCTATAATTCTTGAAGAAATGAAAGAGTAATTCATTTGTTGATACCAAATTAACTCTTGTTTTATAATTTGTTTCAATTGCGAGCCCATTGTATGGGGCACCATTTAAAAAAAATTCTTAATTAAACATTTTCATATTCTAAAAAATTAAAAGAGAAAGAAACATTTTCAAACAAGACAATCTCTCTGGAATAGATCTTGGAAAATGGCAAGTGTCTCTCGGACATAGAATCTCATTATCAAAACTGGAGGAAATGACAATTTTTGGGGCAAAACATGCTGAGGCAAGCAGAACAAGTTGTCACAAGTTAAGAATTGCAAGGGTACACTCTGGTGTAAAAAAATAATAAAGACAACCAAACCAGGAAGAGAATGAAAACTGCTCTTATAAACATTCACACAACATATCAAGAAAATATG